ATCTAGATACTATACTTCTATTGATGCAGCCTAAAATTGCATTGGCCTATTTAGCTACTGCATTGCACTGTTAACTCATGTTCAACTTGTGGTCTACTAGGACTCCTAGATCTCTTTCACACATAATCTCGTTAAGCCAGATGTCCCCCATCTTATATCTATACATTTCATTTTTCTGTCCCAAGTGCAGTATCTTACCTTTCCCCATGCTGAATTTCATTTTGGGGCTAAGCAGACTGGTGGCACGGGGCCGCCCGGGAAGCTGCGGATTGGGGCTGAGGCATCCGCATTCCTCAGACCCGCGCCGCAGCTTTGCCACCCCAGGAAGGAGCGCTAAAATAGCACTCTTTCCACAAATCACTGAAGGGATGCCGCAAAAGGCTGCCGGTGCACCTTCAGCGCCTCTTCCACTGCAGCGTGTGTGGACACTGCAGCAGAAAGGCATCCTCGGAGTGCCGGCCATGCGGAGGGCCAGTTGCTCTGATGACGTCTTTGGGAAGGGGTTGGGGCGCCCAGCGTGCAGCTGTCCCTCCTCTTCCTTGCCCTGAAGACAGCACTTTGCACCATCTGCTTAGCCCCTTTGTTAGCTTTAGCCAGCTTTCTCATCTATTAAAGTCATTTTGAGTTTTCATCCTGTCCTCTGGGGTATTAGATAATCCTCCTAATTTGGGGCCATCTGCAAATTTGATAAGTATGTCCTCTATTCTTTAATCCAAGTCATTGATAAAGATGTTGAATAGCACCTGGCCTAGGACAGAACCCTGTGCACCCCACTAGTCACTTCTCTCCAGGATGAAAACTAGCCAGAATGTCATTGGGATCCTTGTCAAAGGCCTTACTGAAATCAGGATATGCTATATCCACAGCCTTCCCTTCATCTACCAAGCTGGTAATTCTATCAAAAAAAGAGATCAGATTTGTCTGACATAACTTGATTCTCTGAAACCCATGCTGATTTTTTGATTATGTCATTCCCTTTTAAATGTTCACAGTCTTTCTGTTTAATCATCTGCTCTAGAATCTTTCCTGGTATTGATGTCAGACTA